CCTGTATCCCCGCTGCCCCCCTGCTGTGCTCCCAGGCTACGGCGGTGAATTCTTAGGATATAGATGTACTCAGCAGAGCCTAGGTCCTCCACCTGGATGCGGCTGCAAGGACGGTACCGCAGGTGTGTAGAGCTTGTGCTGCCCAGGGAATGGCCAGTGACCCCATGGAGCGGACTTCAGCCTTTCCCGCTGGTAAGTCAGCTTCTCTGGTACCACGTGGAAGACAAGCCATTTTTTCCCTGTTGAACTGAAGTGGCACCATTATCATATGCGGCAAATCTGTAATTAATTAATCTCAGTTTCTTAAAGAAAAAATAAAAAGTTGACAGCCTGACTTACAGAACAACTATTCACTCTCTAGTCACTACTGAAAAGTCTTTTTCCATGTGACCTAATTACACTTTATTTAATGCAACTTTAATTAAGTATGAGGAAACATTTTACACATACGTGAACTATCTACCTAGTGCTCATGAACTAGAGCACTGGGTGACACTGCAAGTTAGTGTTGAAAAGAAAGTCAAACCTTCACGTGAGACAAATCTGTTTTAATGAAGAGAGTATTTAATGTTCCATAATTATTTGAAGTATCCAGGAGAGCTCGGCTCCTTTCTTCTGTAAGGCTGTGCGGGCCTCTTCCTTGGCTCGACAACATTCTCAATGTTCTCCCTGAATGAGGCTTACTCTGGCTTCTTGGACAAGAGGAGCTTCTGCTAGAGATCTAATTACTTCTTTCACTAACTCTTATTTTAGACTTAATGTTACTCCCTTTGATATACTATGTAGATTTTGTATACTTGCTACCGATTCTTGAGATACATTCATATATATTCATACATATGTGTGGACACACACACACACACACGTGTACTTTTTTGCTTCTAATTTGGATATGACAAAATAAAGCTGTTGAGTCTTATAAAACTATTTTTTAGACACTTTGTTTTATCAGTTCTTTCTTATTCGATTCTTTTGTGTTCTCTAGGTTGATCATCTACAAGTAATAATAAAGTCAAAATAATTCTTCAATATTTCCAGTTCTTATTCTTTTTTTCCCTATTGAATCAGTTAAAACTTCCAGGGCAATATTAAATATTGGAAGTGATAGTGGCCGTTCTTGTCTTAGGAATTTAACTGAGATTCTTCTAAGGTTCTACCATCAAGTCTGCTATTAGTTTCCAACCAGTTTTCTTTATTATTCTAGTTAAATTCCAAAATTACTCTGAGTTCTTACAGGAAAGGATATTGAAAGTTGTCAAGTGCCTTTTGGCATTTCCTGGACTGGTTATATTTTCTTGTGTAATTATACTATAATTGCCCAAGACATTTGTTCTGTAGTATTTCTTGCTTCCTCATGCAGCTCTTAACTCCTTGCTCTCTCCTCTGTATCTCCTAGACACTACTAGCTGCTTCTAGAGCCTGGGCTGCATTTAGGTTCCGTTACTCTGGTAAGAGATCTTCCTGGGTGGTGCTGTTTTCTTCCCGCTGTGTCACTCGGTCCCCTGCTATCTGGTTGTACCATTTTAGTGTGAGGTTAGGGTTGATCAGAGGGCTCATGTACTGTCAGTCAGCAGTGTATCTCATTATAAAGTTCCCATTAACTTTCCACTTAATGGCTTTAGTATCTAGTAACAATGGTCTCCTTCTATTATTTTAATAGGAGTAACAAGAAGGCAATGAAAAATAGTATCTATCATTGTTTTTCCACTTAGTAGCTGAATTTTTCTATAAAAGGAAACTTAGGTCACCCTGAAATGCAGTTTGTACAGGGAAGGAAGGATAAATGCTTGCTTTTCCATGTGTTAGAATACAGAGCTGGTGCCCTGGTGACCCCAGAGAGGCAGGAGGTAGCGAATGTAACACTCCGTCCAGTGATGTCGTGATTTTAGCTGCGTTTCCTATTTCTGTCAACACATGGTAATGTTAAAGCGTATTTTTACTTTTAAACCCTTCAAAAGGCCCTTAATAAGGGTCACTAAAAAAAACAAAACAAAACATGGGAGGGAGGAATTTTGTTCATCTCTAGGAGTGGTAGATAATCTTCATTCTGCGCCACTGACTTTCCTCGTGGTTACCTCCATTTGTTCTCCTGGTTGGAACACAGGACGGCCGTTCTCTGGACGTGTAATGCGGTTTCATTTGTCTCAGGATGTTTTTATTGTTTGTTCGGGGAATTCGTTGTTGACCATGTGACCTTTGAACATCTCCCCTAAAAAATTAGCTTTATGTTGCCTTCCTGGCGCCAAGACAGTGGGATCCTGTATCCCTCAGGAACAGATACAAAGCTAGTTTTTAGGAACTTTATTTTGCAAGATTTCAAGAACTCCAGGGAGAATAAAAAAACCCAAAGTGAAAGTCCTTACAAAGAAACCAAAAAAAAAGCTGTCTCCCCTCTTACTTTCTTAATAATAGCAGTAACTTTCTAACGGGATATGGGAGATAACGAGGATGATGGTAATGATGGCGATGGGGATGATGTGTGTGTGTTATTTTGCATGTGGATGGTGAATTAGGAAGTGACTATAAAAGAGAAATTTAGGGAAAGGACCTCGCCTATATAAATCTGGATTTGTAAGTCAGGGAGAAAGCAAGATCAGTTTTTAAGCCTGGACCCCATAGATGGAAGTGGCATCTACTGTTGAAATAGGCTTTGCATTCGGTGTGATGCAAACCACTTGTGTAGACAGCGACTGTTTCAGCCAGTGTTTGAGGTTCAGTCCAGGGCCCACTGAATCATTTTGAGAAAGAGCTGGCCCCAATCAGGAACGTTTATCTTCGAGTTTGTCCTGCCAAAATTTATGTGCCTTTTGGATCGAGGCTATTTTTTTTTTTTTTTTTTGCCCTATTCATTGGAGAAATAGAAAACTGAGGCAGAAGAAAAAAACCACACATTGGAAACAGGATGGTCTTTGGGTTTTGATGAGCATATAAGCCACATACGATGAACCCTCATAGTAGAAGCCATCCCCTCGCCTGCTTTCAACAAATAATGATCTAACAGACGCCCACCGCATGCCGGGTGCCTTGCAAGGCTCTGTGGAAGCAGCCCACAAGACTCATCTTCAGCTTGAAGGGCTTCATTAGGCTCGCAGAGGAGACGCAGCGGGTAAATGGGCAGTTACAAAGGAGTGCTTCAGTCAGAAGCCATCTTCATCTGGGGTCCTGAAGAAGCTCAGAGGAACATCTACCCCAGGCGTGGGGGGCTCAGGGAGGGTACCCAATAAGGGATGTCTGAGCTGAGGCCTCCCTATGGGAGGAGATAAGAGAAGTCAATGCAAAGGAACCCTGTGTGCAGAGCCTCTGCCCCCTCAGGTGGTTCTGGGGTAGAGAACGCGGGAGGGCGAAGTGTAAGACATTAGGCTGGAAAAATGGTAGAGATCGATCTTGTCCAGCCTTGTAAGTCAGTAAGAAGTTTGGGTATTCTTCTGAGGATGCTGATATAGCGATGACAGTGACATGAGTCAGACAGCTCTTTTAGAGGACTTCCTCTGCCCCACAGTAAGGGCTCAAGAATTATTTGTGCGATGAAAGACAGCGTCTACTTTTCTCTTTCCGTTCCTTCCTTCCTTCCTTCCCTCCTCCCTTCCTCCCTCCTACCCTCTCTCCTTCCTCCTTCCCTTCTTCCTTCCTTCCTTTCATCCACCCTTCCTTTCTTCCTTCCAGAGAGTGTAAGAATGGGGAGAGAGGGGCAGAGAGAAAGAGAGAATCTTAAGGAGGCTCTACACAACATAGCGCCCTAGGCAGGGCTTGATCTCACGACCCCGAGATTATAGTCTGAGCGGAAATCAAGAGTGGAACATTAAACCAACGGAGCCAGCAGGCACCCCTGTGTTTCTTCTTCCACGCTCTCAGACGCGCATGGGGTCCGCAGGAAGGCCAGCCCCGCACGTGCGCCGCATCCGAAAATGCGCGGGGCGCGCCGGCCTGCAGAGCTGCCTTCTCCTCCGCAGACGCCGCCTTCCAGCCGCAGCCCGGCCACCTGCCCCAGTGCACCTCAGCCGCGGTCCTCCGGAATGACCTAGAGACGGTTGTTTGAAGACATCGAAGCCGCTAACCTCGCAGAGAGGACGCTTAGCAAACGGCGAGCGGGAGCTGCCTGTGGCGGAGCCGGGGGTGAAGGCGCAAAACCCCGACGAGGATCTAGAAGGCAGGATGGACGCTCCGATTTGGGCAGAGATAAGCAGCGGCCTGCACGTCAGAGACTTCCCAAAACGAAGTACGTTGCTGGGCAGGAAAACAAATGGGGAAGAAAAGGCAAAATCACCGACTGAAAGTTTCTGTGCGCAGTTGGGGAGCTGAGAGTTAGAGCCCAGGATGAGAAGCAGGTCGTTTCCAACGGCAGAATTTTAGCGGGTGGGGACGACAGGGTCAGAACTCCGCGTGGGTGTGGAGTGGGTCTGAGTAGCTGCCTGGTGAAGACGCTTCTAGAAGCAGTTACACCCCTTGACTGGTTTTAATCCTCCAAAAAGCCCTGCTTAGTGAAATATTAGTGCTCTCCTTCTGCCCCCACTGGGCTCTGGAGGAGAGAAGAGCCCAGGAGCTCCAGGCCTGGGACAAAAGCCCTGGGCTGTTCCTGCCACGCCAACCCAGAGAGAACGGGGAGGTTGCCAGGGACAGGAGGGGCGAGGTAAGGAGGCCACGACAAACAGGAAGCCCCTAACCAGACACACGCGGCGAAGGAGAGTTACAGCGAGCAGAAGCAACATCGCAAGGTCAGTAACCTGCTGGAAAAAAAAGTGGATGTAGCTGAGCTCACACCTTTTTTTTTTTTTTTAAGATTTTATTTATTTATTGGACGGAGAGAGAGAGATCGCAAGTGGGCCAAGCAGCAGGCAGAGAGAGAGGAGGAAGCAGGCTCCCCGCTGAGCAGAGAGCCCGACTCGGGGCTTGTTCCCAGGACCCTGAGACCATGACCGAGCTGAAGGCAGAGGCTCAACCCACTGAGCCACCCAGGCGCCCCTGAGCTCACACTTTTAACGTAAATCTCGTGCAGGGGAGTTGAGACTGTCCATGAAACAGTGTCAAGGAGATTCAGCAGGAAAAGAGCCAATGACAGCTGGATGGCTGATGTCTGTCCTATGAACCTGTAAGTTCGTGGATGGAAACAGTTCAGCCAGAGGGTGTCCTTTAGGTCCTCTCTCACAGTGCTTCTAGAAGAATTGTATTTGTAGTAGGTCTGATGGTCTGGTCCTTGAGAATAAGGAAATCGAGCTAATTTTACTAGTGTCTGCACTGCTTAACCTTCCTTCCTTCAAGCAAGACCGAGCAAGGAGGACCTTAAATAACAAATGTTTGCTAGCTGAGTATTTATTACCCTGTGCAGGGCTTGCTGACCTTTCTCTGTCACGCATCACACAGTTACTATTTTCGGCTCTGTAGGCCATGTGGTCTCTTCGCAGCCACTCATCAGAACACAAAAATAGCCATGGACAGACAATGTAGAACCAAGTAAGCATGGCCCAGGCCGAGCGGACTATTTGTGAAGGGTCCGGCCGGGGCTGGATTCGGCCCGTGAGCCACGGTTTCCGGAACCCGGTCCTGGAGGAGCTCTGCGGCAGCCCAGCTGAGGTGTCTGCTTTGAATGGAAGCTGGGCCTTCATGGACGGTCCCTCCAAGGTGATCTAACCCCAGGGGCAGCTCTGTGACTTGCCCCAGTTCTAAGGGCCTGGATGTCTGAGGGAAATCGTGTGTCCTTCCTTCGTAACGTTCTCCTGAGGCGATGCTTTGAGGCAGGGAGCAGAAACCTAGACTAAAACCCTCCTGTCGAAGTCTTGCTGGAAGGAGGAGCCTCACCACGAGGACATCCCAGCCAAAGGCATACAAACTCTCACATCTGGGGGAAAAAAAAAAAAAAGGAGGAAAGCCCCCAGTCTTCCCAGCCACGGTCTCTTCTTCTCAGAGTCTAGCACAGGCTGGACTGTTTTGCAGCCCTCGCGGGTCAGCCGCTGTCTCAGCAGGAGTGGGAGGCGAGCAGGTAGGAGCGGCTTCTCTGCATACGCGGGACGGTTGCCTACTGGGGTGACTGCGCAGAGACAAGAATCCTCCCAACGGCCAGAAAAAGCAGACATCTGGGAAAGCAGAACGTGTTACAGATCGCAGAAACAATGAAGCTGAGGGGAGGGAAGCGTCTGTGTGCGTGGATGGCCCAAGAGAAGGAGACCGCGTGTCCGAAGGCTGTCATCCAGCCCAGGTCGCCCAGCAGCGTGCGGTGCGAGGCAAACCCGTGCAATGAATTGCATGCTTGCCTGGTTCGCTGAGACCTGTTCGATAGGGGAGGAGCCCAGTAATATTTTGATTAATGACTTCCTTGAGGATGAAGCTCTTTTATGCAGACAGCTCTATTAGAAAAAAACCTCAAGCCAAAATTCCTTCATAAATCATGCAAAAAATGGCTCCCTCCGCAACAGGAATAGCTCAAGGGCGTCTCTATTTGTCTTTGGTTAGATGCTGATGAATAGGGCTTGTCCTCAGCAAAGCTGTAACAGCTGAACTTGATCTCGGGCTGCACGTCCTTCTGCTTCTTCCATTTGGATCTGTAGCCTCCGGGGCCGGTATTTTAGTCAAGGCAGAATCGAGTCACCGATAGCGCAAGTGCTGTCTTCGTCTTTCCACGGACTTGGCTTTGGATGCCTTGGGAATGTAGGGTCACTGCCCACTATTATCAGTTCATTCCCCTTGTCTTTCTTTTCTTTTCTTTTCAAGATTTTATTTATTTATTTGACAGAGAGAGATCACAAGTAGGCAGAGAGGCAGGCAGAGAGAGAGAGGGAAGCAGGCTCCCCGCTGAGCAGAGAGCCCGATGCGGGACTCGATCCCAGGACCCTGGGATCATGACCTGAGCCGAAGGCAGAGGCTTAACCCACTGAGCCACCCAGGCGCCCCATTCCCCTTTTCTCATAACGTCCCGCAGCCCTGATTCTTTGCCCTGGGGGGAAGCTCGCCGAGGGCTTTGGGAGCCTCTGACTGGAAGATTCTGTGTTGCGTCTCATTCTCGCAGTGTCGGCGCCGGCGTGCCGCAGCAGAGACCTGCTGTGTCCCCCGTTCCTCTTGCCGCTCTACCTGCACCTCTGCCAACCTGCCCAGCCCTGACCACACACACGCCATATATATATGCATCAATAAACACACAGACGTTAATATAAACGCATGCAGTGTCTTGGCGTGTGTTCCATGAGCACTTAGAGATTCTTTACGCCGTGAATCATTCATCTGACAGCCCGGACTCTGTTCTGCATCATCCGTTTCTAGCGGGTGAGGAGCTGTGGCGCAGGCGTGTGACCGGACTCCGCTCGCAGCTCGCACGGTGGGGCTCCATGTGCGTTTGCAGACCAGACTGGCTGAGGGACCACGTGATGTCAGTCAACGCAAGGCCAACAGCAGCATGCGGTGGCTTGTGCCGTTGGAGAGACCTGAGGTGAATCTGGCCTAATGCCATTCACGAGCGGTGAAACTCACGCAACCTAAAATTAAAGTGTGCAACTGACATTTCACACATTCGCGTCCTGCAAGTACCATCTCTATCAAGTTCCAAGACATTTTCATCGTCCCAAAGCAAAACTCTATGACTTAAGCAGTCGCTCCTGGTTTCCTCTCCCTTAAGCCCCTGACAACTGATCAGATCCACAGATTTACCTATTCTGGGTGTTTCACATACATGGAAGCTTACAATATGTGACCCTTTGCCACTTAGCATGTTTTCAAAGCTCATTCATGTTGTAGCCTGAATCAGTATTTCATTCCTTTTTGTAACTGCATAATACGCCATCGTGTGGATATACCACAATTTCTTTATCCTTTCTTCTGTTGATGGACGTTTGGGTCGTTTCCACCCTCTGACTCTTGTGAAGACAGTTGCTATGAACACTGGTGTGCAAGTATTTGTTTGAGTATCTGTTTTCAGTTCTTTGGGGTATAAACCTACGACTGGAATTGCTGGGTCATATGGTTATGCTGTTTTACTTTTTGAGGAACAACCAAACTGTTTTCCACAGTAGCTGCACCATTTTACATCCCCACCAGCAGTGTACAAGGATTTCAACTTCACTATGTCCTTGTCAGCCCTGTTACTTGCCTTTTCATTATAACCATCCTAGGGAGCATGAAGTGATATCTCTTTGTGGTTTGAATTTGCATTTTTTTCTAATGACTAGTGATGTTGAGCAACTTCTCATGTACTTGTTGGTTGTTGGTATATCTTTTTTAGAGAAATGTCTATTCAGTTTTTTTACCCATTTTTAATTTTTTTTTTACTTTTTATTTTTTTAGTCCATTTTTAAATTGGGTTGTTTGCCTTTTTCATTGTTGAGTTGTAAGAGGTTTTCTTTTAATATATTCTGGATTCTAGACCTTTATTAGATGTATGATTTGCAGATATTTTCTCCAGCTCTTAGGGTTTTTTTTTTTTTACTTTATTAATGGCAAAATATATTAAGTATTTTGAAATAGGTCATACTGTGTCTGTCACAAGATCACTCCAGGTACAGTGTGTGTGTGTGTGTGTGTGTGTGTGTGTGAGAAGTGACACGGGTCTAAAGCAGGGCACGGTGCAAGGAGGGCCACTTAGGAGGACACTTTCTTGAGGGATTCAGGAATTCTTGGGACTGGGTGTAATTCTTGTTCTATAGTTTTATTTTTTTGTTGGTACCTATCAAGAGGAAGTCCTGTCGTTAAGATTTGATGTGTGGAGTTAATTTTTCCGACTCAGATGTAAATCCCCATAGCCCTTACCACCTTAGTCCATTCTCCACAGGCATCCAGGTTCTCTTTCAAAAACACAAAACTGTCCTCATCACTGCCTCCGTAAGATTTTTAGTGGCTCTGTGTTGCTGTCAGAGTTGTGTTTAATATGCCATAGATGTGTCCCAGGGACTGTGTTTGGTGCTGTGGTTACCGATGTAAGCAGGATGCTGTGGTTCCTGAAGGCCAGGTTTGAACTTCTCTATTGCTGTCATTCAAGATACTTTCAATCTGGACCCAACACCGTGGTTGTCTCTTTCCCAACCCGTAGACCATAGTGACACCATTCCCCTAAAATTTCCTCTGTTGTCATGCCTTTATCTCCTTCCCTTCCTCCTCTACTTGGAAAGTCTTAGTTAGGTTGGAACACCCAGGATCTGGTGCATTTTTTCTATGAAACCTTTTGCAATTAGAATGAATTTTCCCCTCTCTGGGCTGTGCCAATACTTGCTCAAACTTGACTTCTATAGAATTATCAGGTTTTATTATAATAAATTGCCTCTGTGATCTGTCTGATCCAATATACTACTGCATGCCTTGAGGACAGAGACCAAGTCTTCCTCATACTTGCACCTCCAGGACTTCGGCAGGGTACCTGTCACAGTCAGTAAATTTTTGGACAGACTGTTTTTTTGAATTACTTGCAAAACAGAGATACCTCATCTGACTCTATCATACAGCTGTTACCGGTACAAATACCGTAGATGTGAAAGCTTTTGGAAAACCGAATGTGTATAAACATAAGGTGGTCTATACAGTACCATATGTATACATTCTAATTTTATACTGCTGATCTCTTGCTTCCTGAAAAAGTTCCAGGTTATACTGAGGTTGAACAGCAGACACCTACTGGTAAACTTTGAGATTGAAACCAGGTTCAGAGTTGGCCTTAGGCAACATTGTCTTTAGGGATTCATGTTCCTCCTTTCAATTTTTACCTACTTTTTATTTTGACCCTGTCATCACGGGCCAAATGCATTCACATAATTCCATAGAGGAAATAATGTGTTTTTATATTAACATGGTAATATGTTCCTAACAAGTTCTTAAGAAACTGAACTGTTATTTAACATGAGGGAAGGGAACAATGATGAACCTAAAAAAAAAAAAAAAGAAAGAAAGAAAAATCAATCACGTTTGATATTGTACTATAATTATGTAAGATGTAACTATTAGGGGAAAGTGGGTGAGGGGGTGCTCTCTGTACTATCTTTGCAAATTACTATGACTCTGTAACTATTTCAAAATAAAAAGTTTAAAGAAATCATCCACAATGGTAAGTTTGTGTATGTCCTGAGGTACAACACTCTTGTAGCTCAGGTCCTTCTGTGGTCCCTTCATGGCTTCCAAAGCAAATGCCTGAGGTCAATGAAAAGGTAGAAGTAAAAGGTAAAAGGAAGGCCATGCCCAACCACAGTCCACATTGGTAGAGCCTCCAAATCCCTGACACCCCAGGTCCTCCCCCTGCCCTTCGGTCTCTGCTCCAATGTCAAGTTCTCAGTGAACTTGACCTTCCTGTCTAAAAGGGAAGCACTACCACCGGCACCACCCTATCCCCACTTTCCTGCTTTGTGTTTTCTTCGTGCACTTATTACCTATAGCTTACTATATTTTTTTACTATTTTATTTCCATTTCTGTCTCCTCCCACTAGAATGTAAGCTCCATGATGGCAAGAACTTCTCCTTCTTCCTCCTCCTCCTCCTCCTCCTCCTCCTCCTCCTCCTCCCCTTCTCCTCCTCCTCCTCCTCCTCCTCCTCCTTCTTCTTCTTCTTCTTCAATAAATTTACTGTTGTATCCTAATTGCCCAGAGCAGAGTTTGGCATAGAGAACGCCCTCAGCCATTCGCTGATTTGTTCAATGAATGAATCTTTGTAGAAAATAAAAGCTTGAAAATAAGCTATTTCCCCGAGAGAGAGAAGTGATTCAAATCTGCTCATCCTTGTGCGAGAGCAAACCTGACTTTGAAGCTCAGACCTTTTCCTGTGTTCGTTCTTCAGAAAAAGAAGGCACGACTGATAATATCTGAGAGGAAGGAAGCAGTGCATTGTGCTGGGCCTCCGCATGTAACATTATAAAAATTGTCCTTTTTTTAAAAGACCAGCCTCCCAAACGGTTTCCAGAGATGGATTATCTTACTTTCTTCTTCGCTCTTCTTCATGTATACAGAGGTAAAGATAATGTCTTCATTTAAAAAATTTACTTCTTTTTTGGTCTTATAGTGTGTCATGTTTAGAATTTACAATGCCCTTTAGTAGGCTCCGATAATTTCTCACTTGTTCAGGAAATCTACAGGTTACAAATACCTCTTATTGGCAGTGGAAACCTTTTTAGACAAGGTAGAAACTGTTACCGTTTAGTGGCGTCTCAGTTTGCTCTCTTCCTCGGTCTTAGAAAGCTTAGAATAAGCTTGAGGTGTCTTTTGCTATATCAGCCATCAAGCCTGACCGAACAAATGTGATGTTGTGTATTTCAGCGCTATGTGAAGAGATGGTTTGGGACACGACTGTTAAACTTGCTGAGAATATGAGTCTGGAGTGTATATATTCATCACTGGACACCTTAGTTCAGCTGGAATGGCACAAGATCACTACAACCAACAGAGAGCTCATGGCCATTTTCAGCCCTACTTACGGTTTGAGTGTAAAGCCACCCTACACTGATAGGGTTTACTTTTTAAATTCCACCATGGCGCCTAATGATATGACCCTGTCCTTTCATAACGTCTCTGAGGCCGATGTTGGCTTCTATTCCTGCTTTCTGCACACTTTCCCACAAGGACATTGGGAGAAGGTGATCCAGGTGATTGCCTCAGGTGAGTGGACATTTTGTTCTCCTTCTTACCCGTCTATGACATTGAATCTTAAAACCCCAGTAGAAACTATAAAATGCTCTATCATGTGTTTGTGGTATTTTCCAATTTCACTTCTAGATCTTATGATGTTATTGTTTTAAAGAAATAGTGCTGTGAATCAGTTTCATTTTTCTTAATGTGCTGTGATTTCTGAGTAGAATAGGCATTTCACAAATTAGAGTGTCGTAGGAAGAAGAGCCCAGGTTTTCTCTTGTCTCAACCATGACTAGAGCCTGGACTAAGCTGATGTTGGCAGTGTTTGGGTCCAGGACCAGATCTTTCCCCATGTGAGCTTCCTCCCAGGGACGGAGTGCTGCTTCCTTCCACTAGGCACTCAGTGCTGGCTTCAACCTCTGTGTGTTCAGAGTCCTCTCTGTAACACCAAATGTAGATTTATTAGTGAATCTGGGCAGAATTCATCAGGCACTGGCTCCATTTTTTGCTTCAACCAAGTTCCTAAGAGATGAACCTTCAGAAACTGCAAGGTGTCATTTCAAGAAGGATCAAATGATCTCCTAGATATTTTCTGCCGTGTCTACCAGGGACTGTGGTTTGCTGCTTAGTGAGTTAGTCCTTCGAGTAATAGCCACGTGGATTGGGTATGGTATATTGGAAAAACATGGCTTTTCTAGCCTTTAGTTTCCTCAAAACCTTATGTTAGTTGATCGATCACCTCTGCATCTCAGGCTTCTGAATAGTAAACTGAATTAATAATACCATTCTCTTTGTTGAATGGCTTAAGGATCCTATGGTTAAAGACGGGGAGGGGGCAGTCAGGGAGTGGTGGATGTTATTATTGTCACTATTATCATTCCCTATGCTTTCAATACAAAAGGACTAATGATGAAATTTTGAGATGTCAGAAATAGTCTAGGGAAGGAAATAGTTTGGAATCGTGTGTTTCTTGTCTGAAGTCTCTAAAATTATATCCTAAATGGATAGTCAGAACACATTATGTGACATGTGCTGGAGTGCTTGCTTTCCAAGGGATGTATATTATAAAAGAACAACTGGGACACCTGGATGACTCAGTAGGTTAAGCCACTGCCTTCGGCTCAGGTCATGATCCCAGGGTCCTGGGCTCGAGTCCTGCATCAGGCTCCTTGTCCAGCAGGGAGCCTGCTTCTCTCTCTGCCTCTGCCTGCCACTCTGCCTGCTCGTCCTCTCTCTCTGGCAAATAAATAAATAAAATATTTAAAAAAATAAAAAAATAAAAGAACAACTTATAGTATTGCATTAGGGATCGCAAATAGAAGATAAGGAAACTTCCAATGTGTTAGTTTTCTTTTTCTCTGTAGATGTAGCTAAGCTCAAAAAAGGTTTTGTGTATATGACGGAGGCTTATAAAGTGTCTATTAGCAAAATCTCTTTAACGAAATATTTATTATCGAGTCCATTTTGTCATGGAACGCCTCATTTGCTTTGTGCAGTCACCTGTTGAGGGCTGTCTGCGAGTTTTTCACGTATGGACCACTTTTGATCAGCCGTGCAGATGAAGGAGAGGATTGGTAAGGGCCTTCGGTGGAGAGAGCTAGTCCACACCTGGCCTGAGCCACCAAGGCCAGAACAAGCTGGGACCCCCCACCCTTCGTGTGGCGAGCTTTTGCAGTTTGGATTCCCAGATCAGGAATTCCAATTTGTCAAAAAAGAGCTGCTTAAACATAGGGAGAATAATGGTCCTGGGCACAGGGAGTTTCACAGTTACAGTTGGGTGGGATGACTCCGCCTAGAGAGCTAACGTGCTGCGTGAGGACTGCAGTTAACAACGTTGCAGTGCGGACTGCACGTGTCCTAAGAAAGGAGATCTCAGGTGCTCTCCCTGGAAAAAAAAATGGTAACTATGTGAGAAGAAATGTGAATTAGCTTGTAGTAATCCTTTCACTGTGTGTGTGTATGTATACGTTTATATTTATCAAATGATTGTGTTGCATGCCTTAAATACATTTTTTTTAAAGATTTTATTTGTTTATTTGAAAGAGAGAGAAAAAGAGAGAGAGGGGAGGGGCAGAGAGAGAAGCAGGCTCCCTACTGATCAGGGAACCCAATGTGGGGCTCCATCAGGACCCTGAGATCATGACCTGAGCTGAAGACAGACACTTAAACAACTGAGTCACCCAGGCACCCCTAATATATACATTTTTAATTTAAAAACAAAAACAAAAAATGGCATTTTGACCTCTTCTGAAAGTTTAGGATAGAAAATAGAGCTAAATTATTGGGAACTAAGTTGTGATCGCCATACTAAGGTAGGATTTTTATCATCATGTATGAACAATTTTGGCAATATTTCCTGCTTTTATCATCCAGATTTATTGCTCCTATCATTTTCTTGTGGTTAGGCAGGGTGGATCTTTACCTTCTGGGGCTGTTTCAAATACAATGGTAGGATTTTCAATCACTGGTCAAAGAAAGGAGAGCCTGCCTCTCCACATAGATGAATTATTCATGATGGTGTTCTTTTTTTTTTTTTTTTTTAAAGATTTTATTTATTTGACAGAGAAAGAGACAGCAAGAGAGGGAACACAAGCAGGGGGAGTGGGAGCAGGAGAAGCAGGCTCCCCGCTGAGCAGGGAGCCCAATGTGGGCTCAATCCCAGGACCCTGGCACCATGGCCTAAGTCAAAAGCAGACGCTTAACGACTGAGCCACCAGGTGCCCCCCATGATGGTATTCTTTTTTTTTTTTTTAGTTTTATTTTCCCTGTGATGGTATTCTTAAGCATGTTTTGTCATGATTGCTTTTCATCATTTACATTTTTAAGTAACAGATTGCGGTAATGGGCTGGTAAGAGTATTCCACTCATTTTCAAAACTTGGGGGAAATCCTTTTTTTTAAAAAAAAGAACAACAAACTAAAAATGATAGTGAATTTAAAAAATAGTAGCTGTATCTCAAAGCTAACCTTATATATACTTTTAGTTTTCGGTTTGTGCTTTCTTAACGTAGTATCGGGAGTGTAACTCAGAGGGACCGTTGATGGTCTATTTAACGACACAAGACTGGAGCTGGGATCCAGAAATCCTAGTTTGTAGAATGGGTTGTGAGGCCTTCAGAAGGAGTCCTACATACGCTGATTTCTCTTCCTTGCTGATAGCTGACTACCTTAGAGGAACTTGGTCATTATCTTCTCATTTAACCCCACTGCCCACGTGGATGTGGACATACGCTTGATTTTCCAGGCAAGGACTTGAAGTGTGGTGAGTTCGCAGACTTCGTGTGTGTCCCGTTGGATAAAACTGCAGCGAGGAATGGGAAATGACATCTTGGGGGGCATGGAGCTGCGGGGGCCCTCAGAGGAGGAGGGTCAACCACGGTATAGCCTTGCGGCCCCACCCCCCACGGGCTTTCAGCTCAGGGCTGAGCCTCAGCTAGCACAAGCTTATTCTAGATAAAGGTGCTGTTAATGCAAATTTACATTAAAAGGTGTGTTAACTTCACACAAGCCTTTCTCAATTGCTCTCTGATTGGAGACGTTAATGGTGAGCATGGCTGCAGGCATTTACTGCTTCCAGGGAAAAGCTGCTGGGTGGCTTGGGCGGTAGGTAACCTTCCAGAGGCTGCCCGTTCAGGGCAGTTTGTGGTGGAAGAGGGATCCCGCTGAAAATTCCTGCAACTCCTGTCTCTGGCCTTACTAGTCGGTTCAAGGGAATGTAGTTAAGCTTATGGAAATGACCCCCACAGGGGGGCCTACCCACCCTACTCCACAATCTACCTTCCACCGACTGCCTCCTGTGCATGAACCGAATGTCATCTCCTCTAATGCTTCCGAAACACCGTGCTGGAGGTGATGTGCTCCCATCGTGCCGCTGATGGAAGTGCTCAGGGTCATCGACCACCTGGAGGCTGTGATTTGCCCAGTCTCAGCACCCAGAGGAGACCAGTCGATGTTTGCGAAGTGCCAGGGACGAGAGGAAGGGGAATGGAATTCCCGCACAGCGCGCAGGGAGGCTCGAGGACCAAGTCGCACTGGACCTTGAAGATGTGGAGGGTATTTTTCTGAGAGAGACAGATGAGGGAAGGAGAGAAAGCGGAGAGGGAAGTGTTCTAGGGGCACAAGGAAAGTTTGACATCCACGCAGGATGTGGTTCCCTCTCTGGGCTCTGTGGCCCCTCGCTGTCATGAGAGGTAGCCCGAGAGGAAAAAACAGGGGTGCCCGCATCAGCCAGGGGGCTCAGCATGTGATGTGCTGGGGTCCCAAGGAAGGTTTTATACAGTAGATTCTAGGTTAAAAAAAAAAGAAGTTGGAACAGCGCAATGTCACAAAGAGCCTGAGAAGTTAGGCTGGCCGAGATCTTCATTGCCTCATGGAGTCTGAATTTCACTATGGGAAATCCATGGGAAGCTACTGAACATTTCCCAGAGGGAGACACATAATAAACCTATGTTTTTCACCACCAACAAGATTAAATTAGTTGTAGCTTATAGGAGGGGAAGAGTTTAAGGTCAGGGTAAAGAAGTAATATTTTATGGGTTGGGGTACTTATCCACTGCTGGTAGGAATGTACATTAGTATGTGTATTATAGTATTGGTATTGGTAATATTCAGGGTTCTCCTGAGAAACAGAATGAATAAGTTGTATATATATATAGAAAGATATTTATTGTAGGGAATCGGCTTATGTAATTATGGAGCCCGTCAAATGTGGACCAATAGGCTGGAGTCCCAGGAAGGACAACGGTGCAGATGAAGTCAGAAGGCTTCTGCTGGAGATTTCCCTCTTGTCTGGGGAAGCAGGTCTTTTTATCTATTCAGGCCTTCAACTGATTAGATGAGGCCCACCCACAGTTAGAAGGCAATCTGCTTACTCAAAACTCACCAGTTTAAATGTTAATCTCATCCAAATGTTTCAGTGAGTGGCGCTAGAGAGGAAAAGAGGTTCCTCTAATACTGGGGACCCAGAACTGTTGGCAGTGCCAAGAAATCCCCTAATGAGACGGATTCTAAAGACCATGCTGGCCTATG